CACGCTTGCAGGGACGCATCGCTGTAGCAGTTTTCTGTTGACTAATAACATTTGCTTTATTAAACCCATTCACAAAAAAAGTCCTGTATGGAAAAAACTCTGATATTTTTAAACTATCATCAATATAACACTATTCTTATACACTACTACCAACTTGAAACATCACAAAAAAATTAAGCACACTGCACAGTGGTGTGCTATTTCAATGCCCAACTGTCAACCTAAAAATTCTGTATTTGTTGCAATTCGGCAGCTATGCTTCAGTACCTTCATTACCATTCATTAAGCATTTGCCACATGGATTGTACTACGTGGACCCGGTTAACGATATTTTTTCAGTCCAGAAGTCTGTATCAGGTCACACCACCTGTGCAGTACTGACGAAAATTAGTTCCCATAAGACATTTGTGAAGTAGATCTAGTCCACTTTCAGACCCCAAAAACATACACGTACAAATGCACTACATTAATGGTCGCATTGGGAGGTGTTCAGTTAAGCGGGGGTCTACGGTTTACTATATTTTCTTCACACTAAGTGCTTCCACACTTTCCTCAACTGCACCACTAATGTGTTAAAAAATTAAATATAAAAAAAAAAAAAACTGGTTAGGCCGCGCATTTCCAAGCAAGTACGTAAGGCTATTCAGGTACAGATACACAGAATAGTACGTACAATTATCTACTTGAATATCTTTAATTATCCAAGTATAGGTATACAGGCCTAACTGAACACCCAATTGACATGCATGCGCTATGACCCTTGTCGGTTTAGCCACTTTATTATCTGATTACCATAACACTGACTCTACATAAAAAGTTGCTGTTTATACTTGCGCATTTCCCGCAAATTAGTAATTTTTGTCCAGGATGCGGACCCATACCAGTCCACTAAAACCCAGGTACCCCTTTGACTGATGGAGTGAAATAGATCAACTGCTCTAGGAAAACATGCTCACATGTTTTTTACCCTTCGCTGGAATCGAACCCGGATCTTCACCGTGTGAAGCAGTTTTTACCACCAGGCAATTACAAGAATAAAAAAAAAAAAAAAAAAAAAAAAAAAAAAAAAAAAAAATAAAAAAAAAAAAAAAGGGGCCGCCAATGAAATAAGTCATTGACTTTTCTGAGGTTTTTCCTGGGTAATTTAACTTGTTGCTATTATGTACATTTATATAACTAATTTATGAAGTACCTGTAAATCATTTCCACGGGTGGGTCCTGGCACATGTCCTAGTCGAATCTCGAGGTTAAACCACATGAAGATACCTCCCAATCCCCAGGCATCAAAACCCCATTTACTTCACCAAGACACCACTACAAAGAAAATTAAAATAAAAATTAACGTAGGTGGGAGGCCAGACTGGTGGTCTTCTGGCCACGACGTCAAAACAACGTGGCTCCATTCACCTTCCTGCCGATAACACCTGCACCGCTGGTACCGTCTCTTTGGTCGTCATCTGCAACAAACACCAGTCACTAATTTAACCCTCTGGCTACTTTCACAAACCTCCTAGTTCTATAATACAGCAGTAATTTGGAACAATTAATATAAGGGAGCGCCGCGGTGGTACTCACCTCGGGCAGCGGGGGAGAGGGAGGAGAAGGAGCTACCAGCAATCGCACCACTGCCACCCCTAATCACGTTTTTTAATTTTGTATTTTTGGAAACTATATTCGGAAATCTGTAGTGTCTGATTTTAGAATAACTTTTAATGCAGTGGGGACGTAAATGGTCTGAGGATTATAGGTGAATTAGCAAATCATGCAGGTTATATGAATCCTCATTCATGCGGGAATTTCTTTACTTTCAAAAATGTTAAATAATAATAATAATAATAATAATAATGATAATACTCGTCCAGCAAGTGACTTGTACTGCAGGCAGATTGAAAATAGGCCTGAAGTAAGTTTATTTAGGTACAGGTACACATAAGTACAACTGGGGTCCCGTGGCCTGGTGGCTGAAGCTCTCGCTTCACACAGTTGAATAGTCCAGGTTCGTTTCCCGGCGAGGGTAGAAACATTGGGCGTGTTTTCATGTTTCCCATCAGTAATAATGGGTACCTAGGTGTTAGTAGACTGGTTTGGGGCGCATTCTGGGACAAAATTAACCTAATTTGTCCGAAATGTTCTGCATAACAAGCGGTTTTCTTTACAGTTGTATGTCAGCTATGGCCTGTGATAAGTATTGTACTTGTTGAAATAAAGGTTTTATATGGTGACACGGTGGCCTGGGCTGGCAAAGCTGTCGCTTCACACACGGAGGGCCTGGGTTCGATTCCCAGCCGGATGGAAATATTCCGACGCGTTTCTTCACACCTGTTGTCCTGTTCACCTAGCAGTAAGTAGGTACCTGGGTGTTAGTGGACTGGTGTGGGCGGCATCCTGGGGGGACAAGTTGAAGGACCCAATGGATAATAAGACAGGACCAGTCCTCAATACACACTACCTTTTCAACAACGGATTATCTGGGTGGATAACCCTCCAGAGTTAAAAATCCGAACGGATATCTATCCTTCTCTTTATACTTATAATATATTATTATTATTTATTATGATTTTTTATTTTATTATCCCAAGGTCAACAGGTGTGGTACAGGGTCGTTCAATGAAGCCTCAAGTTTTGGTGGCCCTTAATAATACAACAAGGAAAAAAGGCGCCAACTTGTTGTGTTGCTCGGGAGTATTTTCAAACTTAAGATAAGATAATGGATAGATAAGATTTCGTTCAGGCTTTTTAAACCCGGAGGGTTAGCCACCAGGATAACCCAAGAAAGTAGTGCGTCATCGAGGACTGTAACTCTATTTCCCATTGGGGTCCTTAATCTTGTTCCCCAGGGATGCGACCCACACCAGTCGGGACTAACACCCAGGTACCTAATTTGTGCTAGGTGAACAGGGACAAACAGGTGTAAAGGAAACGTGTCGGAAATGTTTCCACCCGCCGGAATCGAACCCGGGCCCTCCGTGTGTCGAGCGGGGAGCTTTTAGCCACCAGCCTAGGCTTAGCAACTTGGGTCTAGTCCCGACTCGTTATCTTCGATCACGACAACCCCTCAGGGAAGTTTCCTTGATGTGGTGACAGGCTCTTGATCTAGGGAATTGGATCTTGTGGCTCCGGTTCTCTGAATTGAGCTGATATACCTTCCATCCCCCCCAGTTGCGTGTATAAATCCTACAGGTCTTAGCCGCTCCTCCATTATTATAATAATATTTATTATCGACTCTAAGACATTCCTCTCACCTCCAGTCTGACTTATTTTGTGTCTATCCAGGTTCTCTAACATATGCAGTATGTATGATAATTCTATGTAACTGGATTTGTGTATACCTGACTAAACAATTACTTACTTCTTATTTTTGCTTTGTTCGCTTGCCCCTTCGCCCCTAGTGGGTCCTTACCTGAGGTCTCATTCTGCATTCATTCTTTTTTCAGGGGGTTGTGAAACCTGATTATCAAAACCCTACCCTCCATTGTATTGCCCCTTACGATTTAGCATCCCTATAATATAGTTGCTGAGTTAGATTTCCAGTGACAGAATGAGTTTTCACCCCATGAGGGCGGTGAAGGGTCGTAATCACTGGAGAATTGGGACAAAATTCCCTCCTTGGATTGAACATGATTGTCTCGTATTGCCCAGGTGCAGCAGGGCCCATATGGGTTTAGCTGAGTCACTGACTACCAGGTTATCCTAGTGTAAATCTTGACCTTACCTTAAGATCATTGTAGCAGCACTGTTTAACCCTTCTGGGTTTAGCGCTTATGATTATAATAATGAAAACCATTGTAAAAAAAAATTATGTACCCATAGCCCAAATAAAATCTTACATACCTACTTAGCATAGCCCAGTAGGCCTACGGCATTGCTACTCTATTTGCATTTTTTAAAACATATTTATTAGGTGCTACAAGTTCAAGGACCCCATTGAAAATAGGTCACTTTGTGTGACTTTCCTGGGTTATCTTGGATATTCTACGCATATGCTGCTGTGTATGATAATTATGTAACTTTATGTGTACCTGAAAAAACTTACTTACTTGTACTGTTAATAAACTTACTTATTGTACCTGAATAAAACTTACTTACTGGGTACCTGAATAAACTTACTTATTGTACCTGAATAAACTTCCTTGTACCTGAATATACTTACTTGTACCTGAATATACTTACTTGTACCCAAATAAACTTACTTGTAGCTGAATAAGCTTACTTATCTGTACCTAAGTAAACTTTCTTAACTCTGACTAGAGAGGTTCTGGTATGGTTCCATGATGGTCGAAACATCTGACATGCCTTGTCTTGAAATAGCCCACCTGGGTTTAATGTTAATGTTTTATTTAATTATCATAATCTAATATGATAATCATACTGATAATCATATGATAATCACAGTAAATAATTTTTATTAAATAATTTGGCAATTCTATTTCATGTTTTGTCTTCAGGTTTGTTAAGTTTGGGAACTAAATACATTTTTGATCACTGGTGAGTTAACTAGTAGTGTTTTTTACTGTGACACTTCTTTAAAATTTAGTTGGTCTGTGGGACTGAGGACCATATTTTGGACTGAAGGGGAAAAAGTTTGTTTTTTAAGGGAAAAAAAAGGGGGCGGGAGGTGGAACTCTACTCATAATTTAAGTTTACTTAGGGTAGATTTAAGTCATTTTTATTGGGCAGTGGTCACCAAAGAGCGCTCTTTCTCTTAGGCACCAAATATAAGTGGTCTAATTATACAGTGAACTCTCCCATATAACGGACTGGTAAGGGGAATATGGGTGGGGATAATGGACAGTTGTGGAAGACCTGGAGTATTCCTGGAGGGTAGTTCTGGGGGTCCCGTTGCCCCCAGGTCCGATTCCATGTTCAGGCCTCGCTGTCGGATCAGGGCCCAGATTCAAGCCAGGGCTGTTACAGTCTTGCCACTGCAAACAGCGTATGAACCTTAGCCGGCTGGGATAGAAGAAAAGTATTGTTTTTCCACTTATAAATTTTAACAATAATGGACAATTCTGTAAGTAATGGAACTTTGGACATTCGTTTCCAAATAGATTAATTTTTCCCCCCAAAAACCTGGGATTGTATTCCATATTTCCAAAGTCTCGTTATCGGGCGGATTTACTCTATTCATTCAGGGGTGGGGGGCTGTTAACCTGAAAGTGTGCTATCTGTGTAGTGCTCAAATCACTTGGGATACTGGAAGGCATTAACAAATAATCACTTCATTAAGCTCCAAAATCCCAGTAGCCAAACTTAAATTGATATATTTTCTATCTTCAAGAGATTACTTACATATTCCTTACTTTCAGATGGTGGCTGAAGACAATAAACCATCAGCTGAAGCTAATGGCCAGGAGGTGAGTTGGTCAATGTTCTGTCATGTGTCCCTCTTGCAGGTACCTTCATGCTACTGAAGGGCTCTTGATTCAAGGAACTGGAATTATACTTCCTTTGATTGAAAATGCTTCCCATTCCAAGGTGTAAACACGACCGTTACAGGTTCAGCATTTAATCATAAGTTTATTATAACAATAACAATAATAATAATAATAATTTAGTTTCTAACATATATTAAATGAAAGAAATACGTTATCAGTATGTATATGTAATATTTTGCATGTATTTGTGTAGCACATTTTATAAAGGAAGTAATTTGAACCATCACATTACTGAAATTAAATAAAATTTTAACTTTTGCAGTGTGAAAAGCATGATGAGCATAAGTATTTGGACTTAATCAAAACAATACTGAAGAAAGGTAACAAAAAAGGAGATCGCACTGGCACAGGCACTCTCTCTCTCTTTGGTGCCCAGATGCGCTTCTCTCTCAGAGCTGGTGAGTTAGTATTCTCAGTATTCCTGTGTAATATGATCATACCATGACCCTGTTTTGACAGTATGGTGAAAGATTGGTTTGATGGATAGTGTCATTTATTGGTAGCTCTGTGGATGCTGGATGCACTGAGATGATAATACTCTTAGAGATCTTATTACTGGAAATAGAGGAAATTTAGTTTTCATTCAGTGTAATGAGGTGATTGTCCTTATCTTTCCTGTTTGAAGAGGACAAGTCCAGGATCATTATGTTATTATTACTGTATATTAGCTGGGCTTGAGTCCTGGAGGTGGAAGGGCAGTGCCTGCATTCTGTAGAATGGTTTTATGTACTGTATTAATATATTTGACATGTTTTTTGCTAGCTAAATGTTTAGCATCATTAGCAACAGATATATTTTATAAATGCCTTACTTGTCTTGCTAGGAGTCTTCCCACTGCTCACAACAAAGAGGGTCTTCTGGCGTGGGGTTGCAGAAGAGCTGCTTTGGTTTATCAAAGGTTCTACAAATGCCAAAAACCTGCAGGATAAAGGTGTTCACATATGGGATGGAAACTCCTCCCGAGAATTTCTTGACAAATCAGGATTTTCTGAACGAGAAGAGGGGGATCTTGGCCCCGTGTATGGCTTTCAGTGGCGGCACTTTGGGGCAGCATACACGGACATGCATACTGACTACTCTGGTCAGGGTGTGGATCAACTCCAGCAGGTTGGTTTTTATAACATTTACGAGTTTTTTAATACTGTACTTGTAGTATTTTATTTATCAAAAAAGTATAGTGACTCCAGCTCTTTTTTCCAGAAGAGCATGAATCTCAAAGTTCAAATGACCCATCGAATCTCAGTGTACTCATTTAGGCTAATTTTATTTGGTAAAACTCAGGAAATTGTTAAAAAAATTTGCTGGGGGCTGAAATTCAATAATCATCACAGTTTTGTATAAAGCTGCTCCATGAATATAAGTTGAAGTTGTGTTGACTTTGAATGTGTCACTAAGGGGTTTACCAGGGGAACGGGGAAGATCCAAGACACAAGGTTAAAAGTACTCTTCTCACATGTTATATGGTACATTATTACTTATTGTAAGACTTGTTAAGCACATTCAGTATCATTTGCCAGTAAAATTCTTTCATTAAAGCCTGTAATGTGTAAACAAATCTTCACAGTTATTTCTACTAAATTCTTCTGAATTCAGGAGCATTTTTAAAAATGTTCTAATATGATTACTTTTTTTTTTTTAATGATTTCAGATGCTGCTGCTTGAAATAATGTGTAATAAATTAACTGAACTCATATAACTACTGTGCATTCAAAATACCAGTGCAATAAATAAGAAGGTAACAGGAGGTTTAGCCAAGCATAGGGTGTCACTGTAGAAATGAAAAGTTCATGCCAAGACCAGAATTGTAAGAAACTGAGTGTTTTATTTTTTAACACACCAGCCGTCTCCCACTGGGTACGGTGACCCGAAAAAGTAGAAACACGTTCACCATCTCTTTCTTGCCAGAGGCGCACCAATACTACAGTTCAGGTGCCCCTTCAAAATTGCAAATATCCCCACCCCTCCTTCAGAGTGTAGACACTGTGCTTCTGGCTAGCTGGTTTCTCTGACTCCCTTCATAAATTTTACCTTGCTCACACACCAACAGCATATCAACTCATAAAAACCACTTGTCTCCACTCACTCCTTATCTAACACGGTCATACAAGCCTGCTGGATGTCCAAACCCCTTGCATACAAAATCTCCTCTATCCCCTCCCTCTAAACACTCCAAAACTATATCCCCGATTTTAACTTTCTGTCTTGATCCTGTCAATCCCATCTGCTTTACCTCCTTAAATTTTACCCACTGCCAAACACACACACAAACACACACCTCCCCCACACTTCAGCTTGCTTTTCCTCACTCCTAAAAGATGTTATACCTTTCTGGCCAGTGCATGAAATCACTGCCTCCTTTTCTTCAAGAACATTTTCTTCTGCAAATTTAGCAAAGAGAGAGTGCCTTAATTATTGTAATTAAAAAAATATGTGGACAGTAATGTAGATTTCTTTGTCTCATTGTATTTATTTTCTTGTGCAGTTTGAGTCTCAAAATTTTAAATCATTCTTAATTTTACTTACCAGTATCATACAGCAATTGGATGTATTGTAATATTGTGTTGTACAGCTAATCAACCGGCTTATCTGGCAGGTAATCGACACCATTAAGAACAATCCAAATGACCGCCGGATCATCATGTGTGCCTGGAACCCAGTGGATGTTCCCAAGATGGCATTGCCTCCTTTGCATGCTCTGTCATGCTACATCGTGATGGGAGAGCTCTCCTGTCAACTTTACCAGGTTCTGCGACACATGGGCTTAGGGGTGTACCTTTCAAAATTGCTAGTACCACTCTAACTTACATGATAGCTCATGTAACAAATTTGAAGGTACGAGAGCGACCAAAAAACATAACTATTGTGTTAAACTTGTAAATCACTCAGAAACCTCACATATAAGAAACAGCTTAATATTTTAATCTCTGCACTGGGATTAACACATTTTCTGTACTGAGGATCTTGGTGTAGAGGTCAAAATGTTTATGATTTTGGTCTTTTTTTTTGAGTAAGAGAAACACTTAAAAATCCTTTTGTTTATAACCATTTATATTGCTCTCCCTTTTTTTTTTAATCACAGCTGGGTGGAACATACTGAAATGATTTTCAGTCATCACTTAAGTTACAGCTTTTATCTGTGCCTATGTAATAATGCTTGAAGTATTTGCCAAAGACTTTTGCTTAGCAGTTTTTTTTTTTATACATATGAACTTACAGGGGGGGGGGGGGGGGACCCCCCTTAAAAAAAAGAAATCGTAATGACACGATTGCAAATAACCATACCCCCGGCGGGATTGAAACCACGGTCATCGGAGTCTCAAAACTCCAGTCCCGGTCGCGGTTGCGCCACTCTAGACCAGGCTAGCCACATAAGATTCAGCAACTCGGTATATTTCTACACCATAGGAGGTTAGCACAGCACCTCTGTAAACCACAATGAAGTTTTTCACAGACAAATCTCCAGCTAGCGTGGCCGTGACGAACTCTAGCTCAGTCCCTTCACTGCCGTTCAAACATGATTAAGAAATCGTAATGACCGATTGCAAATAAACCATACCCCCGGCCGGGATTAAACCCGCGGGTCATAGATGGTTCAACTCCAGCCCGTCACGTTATTAGCCACTAGAACCAGCTAGCACAATAGATTATCCAACTAGGTAAATTTCCTATACACCATAGGAAGGTTAGAACAGGGAGATACCATCTCTCAAAGCGATCATATGTAAAAAGGGTGGGAAATACGTAGCTATCGTATCCACGGTCAGCTGCTGTGCACCATGGTCAGCTGTTGCTGCACTACCATCAGCTGATGCTAAGTAAGTTTATTCAGGTATACACAACTACAGTTACATTGATTATCATACATAGCAAGCTATGGAGTTTTCCTGGAGTTTACCTGGAGAGAGTTCACTCCAGGTAAACACATATGCTGCTATGTATGTGTAGAGACCTGGGATAACCAAAAAAAGTCAGACAGAGGGGACTTTTTTCCATTGGGGTCCTTTTACCTTATTATTATAAAAATAAAGGTTATAATATTTTCTTATTATTCTATAATAAAGATAACATATTATTATTACACTAAAAAGACTATCTACTACACGGGGGGTCATTAAGACTATTACAATACGAGGGTCATTACTAGGAAAAGGTAAAATTACACGTGTTAGCAAAAAAATAAAAAAATCATTCCCCTCCCTTTCTGTAGCTACATTCATCAGAACACCTTTTGGCACTCTCTTGAACTGGTTCATGCTATGACTGGCTTTGACATGTGCAGGCAGTCTGTTCCATTCCTTTATTGCTGTACAATAAAAGGTGTTTGAAGCCTGGCCACTGACTGTGGGTACTACAAAGTTGTGCTCTCTCCCCCTAGTACTATGATTGCTTTGGTTCCCAACCCTTTGGGACAAAATTGACCGCAAGATATTCTGGACACTGTTTGTGAGCAATTTTATAAACATGATTTAGCTTCAGTTGTTTTACTCTGTCTTCAATATTCAGCATATCCAACTGCTGTAATTCATTCTGCCCTACATGTTCTCTTGGACCCAGCCCCGGGATGAATCTTACAATTTTGTTCTGGGTGATCTTCAGTCTATCTTTCAGTTTTTTTTGTCAAGGTAGAGTACCATGAAGAGCAAGCGTAATCCATATGACACTGTATACCTGGAGTTTACCTGGAGAGAGTTCTGGGGGTCAACGCCCCCGTGGCCCGGTCTGTGACCAGGCCTCCTGGTGGATCAGAGCCTGATCAACCAGGCTGTTACTGCTGGCTGCACGCAAACCAACGTACGAGCCACAGCCCGGCTGGTCAGGTACCGACTTTAGGTGTTTGTCCAGGGCTAGACATAGGGTCCTGCGAGCCTCAGTAGGTAGACACTGTGCTTGTCTATAGAGGAACTTCAGTCTGGCATTCGCTTTCTTTACTACACTGTTCCCTATCAATTCTCCTGACATGCATGGGTCAAAGGGGATTCCCAGATATTTTACTGATGAAACCAAAGTGATGGGCTCCCCATTACACTGGACATTAAAATTATTTACCCTTCTCAGTTTATGTCAGCTGCTTTATGTCAGTCAGCTGCTGCTGCACCATGGTCAGCTGCTGCAGCACCATGGTCAGCTGCTGCTGCACCACAGTCAGCTGCTGCTGCACCACGGTCAGCTGCTGCTGCACCCACAGTCAGTTGCTGCTGCACCACAGTCAGCTGCTGCTGCACCAGTCAGCTGCTGCTGCACCAGCGTCAGCTGTTGCTGCACCACGGTCAGCTGCTGCTGCACCACAGTCAGCTGTTGCTGAAGCACGGTCAGCTGTTGCTGAAGCACAGTCAGCTGTTGCTGAACCAGTCAGCTGTTGCTGAACCATGGTCAGCTGTTGTTGCACCACGGTCAGCTGTTGTTGCACCATGGTCAGCTGCTGCTGCACCGCAGTCAGCTGTTGCTGAAGCACGGTCAGCTGTTGCTGAAGCACGGTCAGCTGTTGCTGAAGCACGGTCATCTGTTGCTGAACCAGTCAGCTGTTGCTGAACCACGGTCAGCTGTTGTTGCACCACGGTCAGCTGCTGCTGCACCACAGTCAGTTGCTACACCGCAGTCAGCTGCTGCTGCACCACAGTCAGCTGTTGCTGAACCACGGTCAGCTGTTGTTGCACCACGGGCAGCTGCTGCTGTTCCACGGTCAGCTGCTGCTGCACCACGGTCAGCTGCTGCTGCACCACAGTCAGCTGTTGCTGAACCATGGTCAGCTGTTGCTACACCACATTCAGCTGCTGCTGCACCACAGTCAGCTGTTGCTGAACCACGGTCAGCTGTTGTTGCATCACGGTCAGCTGCTGCTGCACCACGGTCAGCTGCTGCTGCACCACGGTCAGCTGCTGCTGCACCACGGTCAGCTGCTGCTGCACCACGGTCAGCTGCTGCTGCACCACGGTCAGCTGCTGCTGCACCACCATCAGCTCTTTCTGACCAACATGACTGGTCCTGAACCTGTCCATCCAGCACTGCCGTCATTGTTTACAAGCCAGGGTGGCCGCTTGCATGTATACAGTCGATACATTTTGTATTATTCCATTGTTTATAGTGCTTGTAACTGCTAAATAAGCCACCATGTGCCCAAAGAAAGCTTCTAGTGCCAACCCTGTGGTAAAAAGGGTGAGAAATATGTACTATCGTACCACGGTCAGCTGCTGCTGCTGCTGCACCACCATCAGCTGTTGCTGATCAAATGGTATACAATACCGACAGGTTGGTAGATAAGACACAGGCAACATTTAGGCAACTTTATTTCGAAACGTTTCGCCTACACAGTAGGCTTCTTCAGTCGAGTACAGAAAGTAGACGGGAGCAGTAAAGATGTGAAGACGATGTAATCGGTCCATCACCCTTGAAGTCGTAGATTTGAGGTTGTCAGTCCCTCAGCCTGGAGAAGTTCTGTTCCAAAGTCTGGAACTAACTGAAGATCAAGCGAAAGTGTGAGACTTAAATACTGTCGGAAGGAGAGGTGCAGAGTAGTAGTAGTGAGAATGTAGTCACTGAGAGGTCATGTCCCTCTCAGATCAAACAGACATGACCTCTCAGTGACTACATTCTCACTACTACTACTCTGCACCTCTCCTTCCGACAGTATTTAAGTCTCACACTTTCGCTTGATCTTCAGTTAGTTTCAGACTTTGGAACAGAACTTCTCCAGGCTGAGGGACTGACAACCTCAAATCTACGACTTCAAAGGTGATGGACTATTTACATCGTCTTCACATCTCTACTGCACCCGTCTACTTTCTGTACTCGACTGAAGAAGCCTACTGTGAAGGCGAAACGTTTCGAAATAAAGTTGCCTAAATGTTGCCTATGTGTCTTATCTACCAATCAGCTGTTGCTGCTGCACCAGTCATCTGTTGCTACACCACGGTCAGCTGCTGCTGCACCAGTCAGCTGTTGTTGAACCTCGGTCAGCTGCTGCTGCACCACGGTCAGCTGCTTCTGCACCATGGTCAGCTGATGCTGCACCACGGTCAGCTGCTGCTGCACCACGGTCAGCTGCTGCTGCACCACGGTCAGCTGCAGCTGCACCACGGTCAGCTGTTGCTGCACCACGTCCCGCTGCTGCTGCACCAGTCAGCTGTTGCTGCACCACGGTCAGCTGCTGCTGCACCAGTCAGCTGTTGCTGCACCACGGTCAGCTGCTGCTGCACCAGTCAGCTGCTGCTGCACCACGGTCAGCTGCTGCTGCACCACGGTCAGCTGCTGCTGCACCACGGTCAGCTGCTGCTGCACCATGGTCAGCTGCTGCTGCACCATGGTCAGCTGCTGCTGCACCACGGCCAGCTGCTGCTGCACCAGTCAGCTGTTGCTGCACCACGGCCAGCTGCTGCTGCACCAGTCAGCTGTTGCTCGCCCCACGGTCAAGCTGCTGCTGCACCAGTCAGCTGTTGCTGCACCACGGTCAGCTGCTGCTGCACCACGGAGAGACAGACAGAGACATGAGTGGTGTTCTCTCTGATACAGAGAGACAGACAGAGACATGAGTGGTGTTCTCTCTGATATAGAGAGACAGACAGAGACATGAGGAGTTAGAAGTTAATTGGGGAAGCCAGACTGTGAAGTGAGATGGGAAGGGGAGTGTGTTTTAAGGGGTTAATTGTAAGGGTTTTGTGAAGTTAAGGGAAAAGTGAGCAGTGAAGAGGTTTTTGAGGAGGAAATTTTACTAGTAATTCAGTGTGATGCTAAAGCAGTTACTAAGTGTCACTAGGGACTGGAAAAGATGAAATAAATATTATTGTATATGAGTAAAAGAGCGAAGAGTGAAAATGGCAGGATTAGGGGGGTACAGG